ACAGGCATGAGTCAACGCAGCCAACTTTAATCTCTTTATTATTTTTCTCTGATAAATTTATCAATTGCTTTTTCTATGCTGTTTTTGAGTTCAGTGAATTTTCTTACAACTGCTATTTTGAATTCTTGATCTGAGAGCTCACGTATCACCGTCTCACCATGGTATCGATCACCAGTTCCTTGCTTTGTTCATTTGGGGAGGTCATAGTTTCCTGTTTGCTGTTGTTCCTTGTGGACGCATATGTATGTCTTTGCAATGACGGATTAGTTTTTCTTTATTGTCTTGCTTGTTGGACTTTCTAGGTTGTATGTTTGCTTAGAGGTTCTTTGCAGTTGCCTGTGATTCTCCTTAATCCTAGATTGCTGTCTCCTTTTCAGCACTAGATGGCACCTTAAGCCCAGATTTTCCTCGGCTCTGACAAATATTTGCAGTACTGCCCATCTCAGATGGTGGGGTTCTTAGAGGAGATACCTCAGCTATGTGGAAAGGCTGGCTAGGGTTTCATACCCAGATAACCTGTGGCATCTGCTTTCTGTAGTATGGTGCTGCTGAACAGCCACTCTGATTTGGTGTCTCCTTTGGCTGAAATGAGGAGTAGTTTTACAGGCTGGAGTTTCTAATTCCACTCCCCTCTTTGTCTTTAGCTGCCCTCAGGGGGGCTTCTCCCTCCAGGCACTAGTGGTGCTTCCTGTGGGTTGAGGCAGGAATTATTTTTCTGAAAGGGAACCCAAGATAGTGGGGAAACTAACTATCCATCTCAATCTCACTTTTTCCAGAGTAGAACAAATGAGACTGGGAGGAATTTTCTGTGCATGATGCCTGGCAGAATGGGGCAGGGACATTGAAGATAGAAAACTTTGTTTTATTGTCTGCTCAGAGTTTTTCATTTCTCTGTGTCCCTGGTGTCATTTCAGCCTCAGATTTGGCTTCTGAGATGTTGCTGGTGTTAATCTGTGCTCCAGATATTTGCTTTTGGTTCTCTGTGGGAAGAGCAAAGGCAGATTCCTTCTACTTTGCCATTTTGTTGATACTCAGAATTGTATTTTTTTTCTTTTTTTATTGGTATACTTTAAGTTTTGGGATACATGTGCAGAATGTGCAGGTTTGTTACATAGGTATACATGTACCACGGTGGTTTGTTGCACCCATCAACCCATCATCTAGGTTTTAAGCCCCACATGCATTAGATATTTGTCCTAATGCTATCCCTCCCTTTGTCCCCCACCCCTGCAACAGGCCACTCTGTTTGATGAGAAGAATTTTTTTTTTCTTTTTTTTTTTTATTATTTAGCTTCTTTTTTTTTTTTTTTTTTTTGGGACGGAGTTTCGCTCTTGATACCCAGGCTGGAGTGCAGTGGTGCAATCTCGGCTCACCGCAACCTCCGCCTCCTGGGTTCAGGCAATTCTCCTGCCTCAGCCTCCTGAGTCGCTGGGATTACAGGCACGCGTCACCATGCCCAGCTAATTTTTTGTATTTTTAGTAGAGACGGGGTTTCACCATGTTGACCAGGATGGTCTCGATCTCTTGACCTCATGATCCTCCTGCCTCTGCCTCCCAAAGTACTGGGATTACAGGCTTGAGCCACCGCGCCTGGCCTATTTAGCTTCTTTCACAATAACTCTTTTAAAACATTTTCACTCTTCCAGAGCTCTTGATTACCTAACTGTCTACAGATGATCAGCCTCCTACTTTTAACAAATTTGAGGTCATCTTGATGAGTTCTTGAACCTTCCCTCCTTCAAAATCTTGTTTTGAATATTTCTGTTTTTCTACCATCTCTCCTCCCTCTTGTCTTAAAGGAAGAGATTGTCTTTCAGACATTTTAAGGTTAACTTTTCTGCCATTATTTTAAATCTCCACTGAGGTATTACTTCTCAGTTTCCTTTATTCTCTTGCATCTTTAATATTTTCTTCACAGGCTTTTCCTTGTTCTGTGAGTATACTTAGATTTCTCCCCTAAAATTCTTCCTGTTGACTCCACTTTTCAAACTATTATTTCCTTTTCTTTTTACTACAAACTTATCAAAAGTAACCTATGATTGCTTTTTTCATTTCTCATGTTTAAACTGAGTCTTATTATAATTACTCTACTGAAACTTTTCTCTTAAATACTAATTATAAAATCCTTTGTCTTTCTTTTCACTTCTGATCTTCCATGATCTCTCTGTGGCACTTGATACTACCCTTGTTTTCTCTTAATTCTGCCCTCTCTTGGCTATGTGGAATTATTCTCTCCTGGAAGTTTTCATTCTCCTACCTCTTTGATTACTTCTTCTTTCCCTTCTTCACCAGTTCCTTTCCTTTTTCCTTTTTCCCCTTTCCTTTTTCTTCTTTCCTTTTTCCTTTCCTTTTTTTCTTTTCTTTCTTTCCTTTTTTTCTTTCCTTTTTCTTCCTTTCCTTTTTTTTCCTTTCCCCTTTCCTTTCCTTTCCTTTCCTTTCCTTTTGTCTTGGTGTGTTGCCCAGCCTGGTTTTGAACAAACTCCTGGGCTCAAGCATTCCACCCACCCAAAGTGCTGGGATTATAGGCATGAACCATTGCACCAAGCCATCATCAGTACTTTTTCTTATTCCACTTACTGAATATAAAAGTTTCTAAGATTTTTGCCCTTGTTTCTTTTCTTTATAAAATCTGCGCTTGGTGATCTCATCTTTTCTTGCAGTTTCCATCATTTCTATTCAACTCTGAATCTATATATATTTCTCCATATTTCCCCTTCATATGTTAATCTATGTTTAAAGGCCAAAGTTAAATATATAATCTTCTAAAAAATCATCTTGTCTCTTCACCTGTAAGTCTCCCAGAGACCCACTAAAGTCCTATATAGATCCTTCCTCTTCTTTTTTTTTTTTTTTTTTTTTTTTTTTGAGACGGAGTTTCGCTCTTGTTACCCAGGCTGGAGTGCAATGGCGCCATCTCGGCTCACCGCAACCTCTGCCTCCTGGGTTCAAGCAATTCTCCTGCCTCAGCCTCCTGAGTAGCTGGGATTACAGGCACGCACCACCATGCCCAGCTAATTTTTTGTATTTTTAGTAGAGACGGGGTTTCACCATGTTGACCAGGATGGTCTCGATCTCTTGACCTCGTGATCCACACGCCTCGGCCTCCCAAAGTGCTGGGATTACAAGCGTGAGCCACCGCGCCCGGCCAGATCCTTCCTCTTAATCACCTGTCATTAGGACTATGCAGTAAGTTCTCTCTCTTTTTCAATCTATCCTACACACTTCTACCAGATTGTCTTCTAGTGCATAGTTTTTATTATGTAGTTTGCCTACTCAGAGACTTTTAGTGATTTTTTATGAAGTAAAAATTGAACTCCTTTGTCTAGTGTAAAAAGTCCTTTGTAATTCTCAAAATATATTTTAGAATTGCCTACATTAGAATTGCTTGAGATACTAGGTACCAAACTAGATTGTCAAGGATCTCCTGTGGCTCAGGGATTTGCTTTCTTAATCAGTCTTTATGTGATTGTAAAACTTGTTGGCATCTGCTTTATGATTTTCCTTTGTTTTCTACACGAACTATCACTCAATTTCACATAATCTACATTTCTGTAATTTTAATCTTGAAAATTGAATTGATTGTCGTTACTACATTTAATTACTTTCCATTTTATCATATCGACCTGATTGTGTATCATGCTTTCTAATGTACCTGCTCTAGCTGTTTCCTTTGTGGAATACCCTCTCTTTTAGGCTCTTTATCTATCAGGATTCATTCCAAAACTCTTTCCTATTTAAGCTTTTTTTGGGCTGAACTGGAAGTGAATTACCCTTCCTCTGAGAATTTTGTGGCTGTTTTATGGGATTTTTCATAATTACCATAATCAGTTGCCTATAAACAAGCCTTTTTTTTTTTTAACCATTTAGACTGTAAGCTCCTTGAGTTCTGTAATCATGTGAGGTATACATTCATTTTTGTAGTCCCCATAGATACATAAACACAAGCTTTGAGGCCTGGAACATAGATGACAATAGGTATTCAATAACTTTTTAATTTTAATAATAGACTAATTGGCAATTGATCAGTGTACCAAATAGATAGATGGGTGAATATCTGATAATCTTATTCTACCTCATAAAATCTTACTCATTTTTCCTATACTTAAAAGCAAAAAATGAATCTGGAGTTGCTTGCTATTATGAGTTGAAGGGATTATATTTCTGGGAAACTTGCTAAGAGTTTACATAAAAAGTAAAGATTAAAAATGCTGATTCCTCTATCTAGTTCAGGCAAAGAGGAGAAATAAGAATTTTCTAGGTATATTTGCAGTCCTGAAGTTCTATTCAAGAACGAAATATCTAAAGGCCTTCTACATTCCCATTTTAAATATTATTTCTTGGGTATCCTGAAGTTTAGTTTATTAAGAATTAAGGCATAATTTTAAATAGCTATTTATATTATGTATATTTAAAATGTAATTTACCCCTGAGGCAGTATTTTCTGTTAGGTTCCAGCAGTTTCTATATATGTACTCTCCATAGGAGCAACCAATTTTCTGATGATCCATTCTGTGTATCAGTTTATCTTTGGGGAATTAAAGTAGGAGATAGCAGAATAGTACTCTTGAGCATCATTTAAAAGTATGATTACCATATAGCAATGAACAATGCTGTTTTTCCATACCTTTTTAATGAGAAAGTGTTTGTAGAGTCTATCTCTGGTGGATTTTCTGTTACTTTTTGGTATTATGTTAAGAAATCTGACCTATTTAGCAGAACTTTTATTATTGAAAAGTGATTTTCAAAAATATAAGATCTGATCAAGTAGCAAATACTCAGAAGAAATTATATTCTTCCAAATACAGTATTTCTTTTTTTTCTTCTTATATATTCTTTCCTTGTTGGATGAAACTGATTTTCAAAGGTATTAGTTAACCCTTGAGTTCTATATGTCTATGGAAGGAGATAGAATATTGCCAACATGTCGTTTAAATAAAAACTATAGTATTCATATATATATACATATATATATATATATATGTATATTTTTCAATGACAGCAAAACCAAAGGAGTACCCCTGAGATGGAAAGACAGAGAGCTGTGTATCATCTAGCCACTAGGCTTGTTCAAACTGCTCGAAACTCTCAATTGGATCCAGACAGTTTACGAACATATTTAAGTAATCTCAAGAAGAAGTACAAAGAAGATTTTCCCAGGACTGAACAAGTTCCAGGAAAGACTGAAGAATAGTAACAATTTACATCTTGTACTAATGTAATAATATATCTTAATTCAAGGAACCTAGAATTTATTTTTCTTCTCAGAGATAAGAAAATAATATTTGCTAAATTTCATATTTTAATTGAAAATTACATTAATATCACAATTGTCATCTATATTCTATGTATGAAAAATATTTATTATAACTTAAATGAGAACTACTTGGAATGGTTTTTATGTTAGGAAAAAGTATAATATACCACTTTTTTGTTGTAAAAATTCATGATTAAGACCTAAGTTTATTTATTTATACTTACAAGTTATAGTTTAAAATATTATTGTAAATACCTTAGGTTAATAAATAACTTTCCCTTTAGGTCTGGAAACTTTTATGAGCTTTTCTTTTACATTCTATTCTGAAGTAATAATGCCCTATGACTCAACAGTTTATTAATTAGTACCCCACATTCCAACACTGGAAGGTTCTGAAGTTCATCAGAGTAATTTTGGAATCACTCTGCTAAGTGAGTAATCTCAGCCTAAAGGCCTAACGTAGATAAGTTATTCTTTTCTTGGGCAACTAAGTGTCTGAAATTCAAGGTATACATTTGAACCATTTTCAGTAAGTTAGAGTATTCACGGTAGTTTGACCCCCCAACATTATTCACAAACCACTTAGGGCCATATTTTATTCTATAATATTTAATATTAATATTTGTTGATTTTATTAAACTTTCAGCATTCTAAGTAAATATTAGTAGCCAAGTATATTGAAAAAGTTATAATTTAAATGATACATGTATTATTTTGGAAAAGTAAATGTAAATTTTTTGTTTGTTTTACATTCAATTCAACATATATTAAATGTCTTGTTAGATTACTTATATTCGCTATTGTCATGTTTTAGAAAAATTATCACAATATTTATACTTGACTATTAGCTATGTTTTAATTCACAGTCTCTGAAATAAATACTATTTTGTGTGGTCATTTCTAAAGGCAGTTAGGTAATTTAGGCTTGTGACAAATTTCAAGAAGACACTGAGGAAGAAAAGGGCATGGCAGATTGTTTGGGCTGGCAGGAAGGAAAAGGTAGGAAGCAATAAAAGGTAGAAGAGGAGTAGTCAGTGGGGAAAAAAAACAGACAAGCAGAGACAGGTGCAATGTATCAAATATGCTGAATATCATTTCCTCAAATACATTAACTTCTTTTTAGATTTAACCTCAATGTTAGATGCCACCCAACTTTTAAGAAATTTTTTATCAATTAAAGCTTTTGATGCAAAAACCACAGCCAAATGATTAATGTCTTTTATTTTAGAATTGAGATACTGAAATAAAAATAGGCTTATATCTTCTTAAAATTAAATTACTTTTTCTTAAACCATTTTGTGTGTAGCAGAAACATACAAAAAAGCAAATCAAATAAAGATATAATTATTATGTCATGGGACTATGGAAGGAAGGTGAATACTAGGGAGACAATTCATTTCTTAATTTTAAGATCTATTTGCGGCCGGGCGTGGTGGCTCACGCTTGTAATCCCAGCACTGTGGGAGGCCGAGGCGGGTGGATCACGAGGTCAAGAGATCGAGACCATCCTGGTCAACATGGTGAAACCCCGTCTCTACTAAAAATACAAAAAATTAGCTGGGCATGGTGGCGTGTGCCTGTAATCCCAGCTACTCAGGAGGCTGAGGCAGGAGAATTGCTTGAACCCAGGAGGCGGAGGTTGCGGTGAGCCGAGATGGCGCCATTGCACTCCAGCCTGGGTAACAAGAGTGAAACTCTGTCTCAAAAAAAAAAAAAAAAAAAAAAAAAGATCTGTTTGCTTTACTCTTTTGTTACTCTTTGCCTTTGCCTTTTTCTAATATTATAGATCATTATCTCATAATCCAGTCTTTCAAGGTAAATGCCCGTAATGTGTTAGCAAACTCCTTTAATTCCACCCCTAAGCCATTATTTTAGTGTGTTCCACCTTTCCCCTCACAGGATAAAATCCTACATAAGATAGTCTTTTTCAAGCTTAGGGGTAAAATATGCGGGGGGTGGAGAAGAAACACAGTTTATTCTCATGCCTAGGAAGTAATGCATTTATTTTTACATTTATATTCAGTAAGATTAAATTTTTTGATGTACGGTCTTATGAATTTTGTACATTTATAGATTCACATAACTACCAGCAAAATCAGAATACAGAACAGTTCCATCACCCCAAAAGACTTGCTTGGTGTTGTTCCTTTGTAGTCAAATCCTTCCCTGACCCTTAACTTTGACCCAGCAATTACAGGCCTGTCTTCTTTCCCTATAGTTTTGGTTTTTTCCCAGAATGTCCAACAAATGAGTCTATACAGTGTGTAACCTTTTGAGACTGGCTTCTTTTGCATAATGCACTGGAACCTTTACAAGTTGCTGTGTCTTTTTATTGCTGACAATTATTTCATTGTTTATATGTGCCAGAGTTTGTTGTCCTTTTATTCATTGAGGGTCATTTGAGTTTTTAGTTTTCACTGATTATGAATAAAGCTACTGTAAACCTTCCTATACAGGGTTTTTGGGGAGCATAAATTTTCATTTATCTGGATTAAATAGGAGTGAAATAGCTGTGTCATATGGTAAGTGTATGTTTTGCTTCATAAGAAGCTGTGAGACTTTTCCAGGGTGGCTATACCATTTCTCATTCTCTTTTTTTTTCTTTTCTTTTTTTTTTTTTTATCTCTTTACCATTTCTCATTCTCATCAGCTATGTGTGAGTTCCAGTTGCTCCTCATGTTCACTAGCACTTGGTATTGTCAGCTTTCTTTTCCTTTTTTAATTGATCCATTTTAATAGGTGCATAGTGAGTAATGCTTTTTTTAAAATAATTAAAGCTATTCTGATAATTTTTTAGCCAGCAGTGACTGTTTTTTTATTTTTTTAACTGCTTTTTGTCTACCCTCTCTGATAGCATATTTTAGAATCTGTTCCTTCAAGCAAAAGTTTTAGAATAAGTATTACTTTTAGAAAACCATAAAACAAATCTAATTCAATAACTGTTTTCTATGGACCAGGCAAAATATTAGGTGTTAGTGGTACAAGAGATAGGACATTTGACTTTGAGACCCTCAGGTGTAATAAAGAGAAAAAAAAAACACATATATTAGAATTGGAGCACTATGTGATAAGTACCATAATAGAGAAATGTTTAAGGCAATGGAACCAAGAGTATGTAACATTTGTTAGTTAAACGGAATTTAAAGGATAAGATATATTGGGTTTTTAGGAAGAAAAAGGAATTTTGGATAGATTAACATGTGTAAGCAAAGATATGTGAAACAATAAGCAGCTTGGTTTAGCTGGAGGATACAGAGCATATGAGAGAGTGAGGCTTGATGCTTTCTATCAGTTTCTCCTATAAACCACTGTAGAGTTTTAAGGTGTGTTTGCCCTTGGGGGGTTGGCAAGGGATGGTGGTGGTAGTGATGGTGGTATAACATGATTAGATTTGCATCTTAATAAGATCATCTGGGAGTCAGCATGAATGATTTTTAAATGGGCAGTTGAAACCAGAGTTAAGGAGAACAAATAGTTTAAGAGACTATTTTAGTAGAGTTGTTGAGGGTTAAAGGTAGAAATGATGGGAATGGGACAGATGCATGTAGGAGGAGGGAAGAGTTGAGTGGGCGGAGTGCCTGATGAGGGAGAGAATACATTGATTTGAAAGATATTTCCTTTACAGGAACATGGATGGACCTGGAGGCCATTATCCTCAGCAAACTAATGCAGGAACCGAAATTGAAAACTGCATGTTCTCACTTTTACAAGTGGGAGCTAAATGATGAGAACACATGGATACATGGAGGGGAACAACACACACTGGGGCCTGGCAGAGGGTACAGATGGGAGAGAGAGAGCTTCAGGAAGAACAACTAATGGATGCTGGGCTTAATATGTAGGTAATATAATGATCTGTGCAGCAAACCACCATGGCACACATTTAGCTGTGTAACAAACCTGCACATCTTGCACGTATACACCTGAACTTAAAAAAAAAAAAAGACAAAAAATGTTTTAAATGTGACAACAACAAAAAAGATGTTCAAGCTCTAACCCTCAATACCTTAGAATGTGATATTGTTTGGAAAAAGGATTATTACAAATGTAATCAGATAAGATATGACAGCTGTCCCTATAAGATCACATGAAGACAGAGGGTAAAACCATATGAAAAAGAAAAGAATTGAAATGGGGCAGCTACAAGCCAAGGAAAGGAAACCACTAGAAGCTAGAAAGAGATAGGGAAGAATTCTCATAAAAGCTTCAGAGGGAGGTGGGCCCTGGTGACACCTTGATTTTTGACTTTTAGGATTCATAACTGTGAGATAAGAAATAAAGTACCCAGTGACAACTCTAGGAAACTAATACAGAAGGGAAGAGTTCAGTATGATTGTGGGTGTTGGTGGATTGATCATGTTGAGAAATAGGGAAGTAATCAGAATTCCAGTAGGAAGAAATTCCTGAAACTTAGATGCTGCTTATTGCCCACCCTTTAGAATAGGTACGAGCTATGGTCAATAAAAGTGAAGAGTAGACCAAATTTATTAATTTGCTTAGAGTTGAAGACACATGAATAGAAGGATGGAAGAAAAGGATGGAAATTAGAGAATAAATGTAAAAAGATTTGCTAAGATATTTGGCCAGACAAATCACTTCATCTGGATCAGCAATCTAGTGTTTCTTTAAAGGTAGCTTTTAGGCTTTCTTTATATTAACTTATTTTTAACCAAAATAAACATTTTCTAGTAAAGGAAATATTCATATGAAAAACCTGTGTATAATATGTACTTCTATATTTAAAATATGCTCATTTATAAACATTTTAATAAAGTATATAAATAAACGTTTCTATAATTCAATCCTATAATGTATTTTTACTTCACCTAAATGAAAGTGAAGGGCAAGAGAAAGCAAGTAATCTGGTTATATTGCTCCATGTCTTTGCTACTTTACTATTTACATTCTGTTCTTTAGAAACTGTAATAATAATATTCACACAGTTTATGTTAGTATAGGACCAGAGTGAACACTCTTTCTATGAGTTGTCACGCTTTGATAGTACCCAGTCTGTGAGTGGACAGTGGAAACTGCTACTATCTGCCATAATTTGCTAAGACAGATCCTAAAATATATAGTGAAAAGATGGGAACAGGTGCTCATTGTCAACAACTGTGACAAGTCTGATATTTTTACCCTAACTGCAAGCAAGCAGTTTAGCCTGCCATATCTTCATGCTTGCTGTCAGAGGACAAGAAATCCTGGTTAGAAACAAAGGATTTTATTATTAATGGCATTAGCAAGTAGCATAAGATTCATGCTTGTGTCATTTCCACTTAGATCCACCCTCCAAGATATGGAGTGGTCCAAGTAGATGTGGACACAGTAGATTTGTGTCACAGCTGAGGAGCTCAGAGCTCTGTTTTTTTAGGTAAGTTTCTTCATGATGAAAGAACATACAGATTTAACCTATATTTTCATTTTGATGTAATTTGGATCAAAATAGTTCATTTCTCTTTGTGTAAAATGCATATAATTTATTCCATTGTATAGAAGGTAGTAGGCAAAGTCACATATTGATTAAAAAGTTATCCAATTAAGATGTTGTGTGAAAATATATTTTCTAAATGAATGTTCAATGCAATAAAAACTTACTTGAAGTTAATTTTTATTAACTTCTCAGCCATACATTGGTAAGCATTATTAAGGAACTTAGGACATCGATGTGTGTTAGATTTCTAAATTCAGATAGTTCTGTAGACGAGCAGGAATTAGAAGTGAAAATATTCCATTTGGGAGCATATTGTTGGTTAATAGTTGGTTCCTGATGGTTACTCTGCAAAGATGTAATAGTTCACATGGATCTTTGTATCTTGTTGAAGGAATGTAATCAAACCAATTCGAAATAATTGGACGTCTTCCTAAACTCAGCTGTGTCTGAAGAAAAGCAAAATATTTTACTTTTGTAATGTTTCGTAATTTGGATTAGTCTAAATTATTAACACTTATTTTTAATTTAAATTTAGAAAATAGATTATAAATTTATAAAACCCTTATAACTTTTTTCCAAAGTATTTTTACTTGAGGCAAGTATTTTATTTCCATTTTTTTCACAAGGATAAACTTTAAATAATCTATATGTCTGAGGACACAAGGCAAAATTTTTTTACAACTATGAATCTGAACAAGTTTTTAATTTTAGTTGGATTGTACTTATATTTTATCAACTTCTTCCTGTAGAGTAGTTATGGTCGACTTAGCCACATAGTAGAATTATCTGTGAAACTATAAAAAATACCAGTGCTCAGGCCCTACTCCACAAATGCTGATTCAACTAGTCTGGGATTGGACACAGACGATGTAAGTCCTAAAGGTTTCCCAGGAGATATCCATTGTAGAGTAAGGTTTCCATTGTAGAGTAAAGTTTCATATATAAGAAGACCCAGGAGGCCTGTCCAAATGAAAAGTTGTGTTTTTTTTGTTTTTGTTTTTGTTTTTGTTTTCCATAGAGACGAGGTCTCACTGTGTTGCCTAGGCTGGTCTCGAACTTCTGGGCTCAAGTGATCCTCCTGCCTCAGCCTCCCGAAATGCTGGAATTACAGGCGTGAGCCACCACGCCCGGCCTAAAGATGTCTTTTAAAGGTTTAGAAAGACATCTTTTAAAATTAATCTTACAGGTCAAAAGTCAACAGATTGACTTAGGAGGAAAAGACATTGCTGTATTACAGAAATATTCTCCACTAGAACATATACTCCACAGGTTATGCGACATTATTTCTTATCTAATTATATTACATATATAATGCATTCATTATTTATTCAATTATGTAACTATTAAAGGATATATACTTAACATTGTGGTAGGTGCTTGGGATAATTGCTAGCATAGGTAAAATAGACACAGCCTCTGTGCTTGCAAGATTCATGGTATAGAGGTAGAAATATCTAAACATACATTTACAATAGAAAATATGTGCTATGATAGGGAAAACTACTGGGAAGTGTGGAAATGTAGAACAGAGATATTTAAAGTGTTTTTTACGCAGTTTTAATGCTACTCTTTATCTTCTTGGTCAATGCTATTTTACTTTATTAAACTGCAATTGATTGGAACGCAGCTATAAATTTTTTGCCACTTAGGTGGGTGATTTTGGTCAACTCACTCTATCCTAGTGCTTTTCTACTGGGATTGTATCTCAGGAATAGCATTCATGGAACTTGCTGAGAATTTGTATGTAATTGTGCAGGACTAGCACTGGACCAAGGACAAGCAAGTTTCTGAAAATGAAAAAAAAATTTTTTTTGTTTTAAAAATAGGTTGCCAAAATTATTTGATAAATTTGTTTTGCTTACAGTTGGCCCAGGCATTCTTTTAAAGGTTTAGAAAGGCATCTTTCATTGCTGAGGCATTAAAGAAAAAAAAAAAAAACAGTATAGTTATATCTTTTATGAGTTTATTTCTGAAATCACATCCTTAAAGGATAGGGAAACTGCTGGATTCCTTGTTAATTTGATTGGTTTAAATTTATAGGGGTAGCTTTCTCACTATTAAATGGACTTATTTCTTGCTACTAATGGGAATAATTCGATTTGATGCTGACACTTGCAGTTCATTCTGACAGGGGGAACATACCGTATATGCTGTTAATTGTTTTCTCTAAATTTGGTATATTCCAGAAACCTTACCAAGGAGATCATCACATTTCTGAGGGTTAGATATTTTCAACTGAACAAATAATTTAAGGCTTTATTTATATTTTTATAATGCTTGACATTGCTTTGATAACTTGAATGCAAAAATCTGTTTTTTGACATACGATTGTATTTGTGGGAAGAAATGTAACCCTCATTTTGAAATATACAACTAGAAAGGAGTTCTGTTAAATTTTTTTGATTTTGTTGTTAAAGGACAGAGAAATCTTAAAAAGTTTAAAAAATATCTTTATGATATAATATATATCTACTTAATACTAAAATACATATAACTTAAAATTCATATTTCTAAAAACAAAGAAGTAAAGAACTGAGATTTTCCCTATTATTTTTATTAATAGGCATATACTCAGTGATCTGTCACTGGATGTAATCTATAAATTAAAAATTAACTGAATTATTTCCTTTACAGTTGAATCTTAAGATTCACCGATATTTGAGCCTTTTTTCCACCCTAAAAACAGTATTTTGCTTACCTCTATTTCCTTGACTGAAATGACAGAAAGTACTCTGGAACATAGTACCAAACATGTTTTGGCATCTTCGTGGATGTCAGCCAATTCACGATCAACCATTACTCTCACTCTTGAAGGGTAGAGTACTATTGTTAAGACAATGTTGATAGGGTTTTTTTCTCTTTCTAAGATTCCATATTGCAGTAATATTTTAAAGATATTAGACTGTCTTGTCTGAGCTACGTAAAGGAGAGGTGTGATGCCACTTAATGGGCTTGGACAGTATACTGGTGTGAAAGTTCTGTGAATTAAACAAAACAAAACTCATTGGATATAGAATTAAGAAATGTGACAAACACTTTGTCTTACTAGTAATGGGAAAATAATAGTATTATCTTAAATGTTAAATATCTTAAATGTAACTTTATATATTACTTAAAAAAAAGTTTTTCACTCTATGAATCTAGACCAAACTGAAGGTTAAAAGAAAACTCCTACCAAACACTTAAAACCCCTTTACAGATGTAAAAATAAGCAAAACCAATTTTTCATATATGTAAAGTGTTTACTTTTAGTCATAGCAATTCTAGTTGAGAAATCTATACTGCTTAGGACAGTATTACAAAACTGATGTAGCTCTGGAAAAAATAAAATGGAAAAGAAGGACAGACCTTTTTGATTTAACTTTATTAAATAGAAAAGAATGTGATCATTTGCATATCTTTTTGTTTTTGTTCTTCTTGATCGTATATCAGACATGAGCTTTAATTGAGTTTGGAGATTAGGAAAGGAATAAATGCAACTATCTTTATTCTATGTTTTTCACTTGAATAAAATTAGAATTGGTTGGGCTAAGGAAATGTAAATTATAGTGAGAGCTACATCACATCCCCCAAGGGCAGAATTTTCTTCTTGAGTAAAAGTTGGAGTCTTCTCTGAAATCTTGTTTTTCCTAGAGTGCCACATGATGGCTAGAGTTAAAAATTTCCCTTCCCTTATGACACATATGAAAATTTTATTTTTTTCTAATGGTATATACTTCTTGCTGTTGTTTCATTTAATAGACTTTTATGCTGTTATGTTGGTCAGTGTAACTATTGTTGTGGTGTCCTTGACCACAAGGGATTTTATTAGCAAGCCATAATTATTAGCAAGCCATAATTTTGCCAAGTAATGTGGTTTTTAGGCTAACAAAAGTGAAATTTTATTAATGATTTTTGTCTCTAGAATTCCCTTGACTGGCCTAATAAAATACGGCAGAAAAGCACACAAAGTATAAATACTGATTTTAGACAACTATTCAGAGCAAGGAAAGTCTTATGAAAAAAGGGGAACTTTGGGGCCAGGCGCGGTGGCTCATGCCTGTAATCCCAGCACTTTGGGAGGCCGAGGCGGGTGGATCACAAGGTCAAGAGATCAAGACCATCCTGGCCAACATGGTGAAACCCTGTCTCAAAAAAAAAAAAAAGAGAGAAAAAAGGGGAACTTTAAGATTGCATATATACTACTTAGGTAAAATGGGAGGCAGCATGGTATAATGGTATAAACAACAGAGACAAATGTTCTAGGTTCTAAGTTTTGACTCTTCTAATTGGGCAAGTTGTGTGATCTTGGGCAAGTTGGCCTCTTTACATCTGTTTCCACAAGCATTTATGTACTCATTTGCTCATTCCCTCATTACCTGTTTAACACTTTCTTGTCTAGAGTGTACAGAGGAGTAGATATACCGAGATGAAAGATATAGTTCTTGATTATTATTATATTCTAGTAAGGAAAACACAAGAAATTGTATAAAAGCAATACAAGGTGATAATCACAATGATAGAAGCATGTTCAGGTACTGTAGTAGCGCTGAGGAGGGGTACTTAACTCTATCTGAAATGGTCATTTTCGGTAGGTTATCCAGAAACTGATTTGAAAGATTAGCAGGTGTTTTCCAATAAAAATATTCAAAAGAATGTTTTAGGCACAAGCATAAACCAGCACTGGAGGTTTACTATACCTGAACCAGCTATAGAAAATAAATGTTTTGGAATAGATGAACTGTTTTCAAACTGTTTTTGAAGAATCTGACGAAACTAAGAAAAGAGAGTTTTTCTGGTTGAATTCCTAGAGCCCTTAACCCTACTGGGTCTGAATCCAAAAAGTATATAGTTGGAAAGTCACTGGACCAACTAGTTTATGTCCAGAGCTTCACCAAATTCTGATGCCAGGATTTTGTAATTAAAAAAATAGTGTAGTGTAGTGCAAAGTAGCATTTTAGAAATCAAGATGTAGGTTTTGTCATAACTCTGTCACTGGGACTATACATATATATATATGTATACCCAAATATGTATACAAAGAGGATATATATGTATGTATATACATATGAATATGTATTATTTCCTCTCTCTCCTGGAATCATCTCCAGACCAGTAATGTCCTGGACATCTCATCCTTTCTTTTTATAAATACTTTCAACACATAGAGAACTTCCAAACTACTTCTCTTTCTACATTATCTATCATTGGTATGCAGTTTTCCAAACAGCCACTGCATCCAGGTCTTTCACATTTCTTTGCTTTGCATATATTCTTCTCCCCCACCTTTTTTTTTTTCAACTTTGCAATAAGTCTAGATCATCTCTATGAGACCTTGTCTAACAAACTCTTTTGTGAAGTTTTCTTTGATTACCCTAATATACCTCATACTCCTCAGGGCACTTTGTACATAACTACATTAAATTTGTATCATGGCCGGGAGCGGTGGCTCATGCCTGTAATTCCAGCACTGTGTGAGGCTGAGGCGGGCAGATCACCTGAGGTCAGGAGTTTGAGGCCAGCCTGACCAACATGGAAAAACCCCATCTCTATTAAAAATACAAAATTAGCCGGGCATGGTGATGCATGCCTGTAATCTCAGTTACTCTGGAGGCTGAGGCAAGAGAATCACTTGAACCCGGGAGGCAGAGGTTGCATTCTAGGCTAGGCAACAAGAGTGAAACTCCATCTCCAAAATAAATAAATAAATAAATAAATAAATTCGTATCATTTCGAAAACTTATTTAACATCTCTAAACTTTCATTTTCTCATCTTCCAAATAAATGGCTAAGCAAAACAATCTACAAAAGCGTAAGCTCCCAAAAGACAGTAATTTTCATCTTAATTCACGACTGTATATTTAAGTGCCTAGAACAATGCTGGGCTCACGTTAGGCACTCAAATATTTGTTAATTGGAAATTTTTTACTGGAAATTTTGACTATATATATGTGATAGTAAAAAATTCCTTGAATTTGTCTTGTAGCTTTCAGGCCTAATAAGATTTTTGTTGATGTGCAAGTACTTAAACTTTTCAAAGGCAATTTAATGTATTCATCTCGCTAGTCCTTAAGAAAATATTTGACTTAAGAACCCCGTAAGTATGGGAATTTGAGAGACTTAGGAGACAAAATATACCATAAGTGGTCATTATTAAGATTTAGAGATATTAGTTGATTCTAAGATATTAAGACTGACATTACCTTTAGAAGATATTGAATGAATACTGAAAAATGTTGGAAACATGAGTAAAACTCAAATAGATTTAAAATGAGATTTAAAAGTCTAATCTGTACCCAAATGACATATGATTAATCCTCATGTTTAAAGAGTATGTTACTGTAAACCAGAATTTGCTTAATCTGTACTGACAGTTAATTATAGCAGTACTTATATGGATGAAGTACAGCAAGCAAAGCAAGAATTAGTTTTTAAATGTGAGGTTAATGAACTGAACCCTCGGTGTCTGAAAACCTGTCATAATGCTTATGAAATGGGGCATAATATTTCCATATAGACATTCAGAGAATGATTCTGTTTTTTAGCTATAATTATTTCTAATTTTTTCCCTTCTGATTCTCCTTCTATTTCTGAAAAATCTGATAGATGCTTCTCCATAACAATTTTATGTGTGTGATATTTCACATAGTTGACTTTCTTAACACTTTGTTTTCCATTTACTTAGTTGGGCTAGTCTCTCCAAGTAACCCATTTATCTCTTTGGGTATTTCTCCTCAACCGTCTTTCACTGGCTCCTCTTCCTCTGCCCTCAACATCCAAGTAAGTATGCATGGCCTTTAGACCAATTTTATTTGATTCTTCCAAGGAAATTTCATTTATGACCATAACTTCAATTCCTGTCCATTTATTTATTTCAACAAATATTGAATGCATACTATATGCCAGGAACTGTTTTAGATGCTTGGGTTATATCAATAAACAAAATAAATATCCCTACTGTCTTGCTTATATTATAGTGAATGATTAGCAACAATTTAGGATAAACATAGTAAACAAGCAAATTTTATATTAGATGTTGATAAGTGCTTGGAAAAAAAAAGTAGAGCAAAGTAAGTATGGATATGCTGTGGGTGGGTACAGTTAGGGCATTTAAAAATATTAAATAGGATGATAGGAGAGGACATTATTGAAAGATGGTATTTGAACAAAGACAAGAAGGAGGTGAGGAAATTAACCATTTGGATATTTCATGGCCCTATGGTGGAAGAGTGTGCCTGGAGTGATGAAGGGAGAATAAGGGAAACAGTGTGGCTCAAAAAGGACAGAGGTAATGGGATGCCACATTATTTAGAGCTTTATGGGTCACTGTACAAATGTCCCCTTTTAATCTAAACCAAATGGACAAGCCATTGGATGTTTTGAGTAGAAGAGTAATGTGATCTGCTGTTTGTTGAGAATTTGTTATAGGATAGAAGGAAAGAAATCACTTAGCTTGGAACATAGTAGTGTAGGCAGCCAGATGCTGTATATTATTTGCAGGTAGAACCAACAGATATCCTAACATAGCTGTGAGATGTAAAAGAAACATTAAGGTTGGCACTGTATATCTAGCCATCCACATCTCTACCTGGATATCCATTAGGCAGTGCAAACTCATATTTCCAAAACTTAGGTTTTTTGTAATATTTTATCTTGATAAGTTTGTGGTAGGACCATTTTGGTAGGCTGAATAATGCCCCCTCAATATGGCAAATATGACTTTGCAGATATGATTAAGATCTTGAGGTGGGAGATTAACTAGGTGGGCCCACGTAATTGCAGGAGTCCTTGTAAGTGCAGAGAATGTTGGAAGCAGAGTCAATGAATAAGATATGATGGCATTATAGTGCTACCTTTGAAGATGAAGAGGCCATCAGCCAAGGAATGTAGATGGCCTCTGAAAGCTGGCAAAGGCAAGGAAACAGATTCTTCCCTATCCTCCATAAGGGACCAGACCTACTAACAATTTGATTTAGCTCTGTAAGACTCAATTTGGACTTCTGATCTCCAGAACTATAAGAACTAAACTGTAAATTTGTGCTGTTTTAAGCCACTAAGTTTGTGGCAATTTGTTGCAGAACCAACAGGAAACTAATGCAATTTTCAACCACTCTCAAAATTTAGAAATCTGAAGATTAACTCTTTTTTTCTCTTAGATCCTCCAATTCTGATCACTTACTGTGTCTTGTTATTTTGTCTAAAGATCTCTCTCCTTTCTCCCACTGCTATTGTTTCAGTTTCAGTTCTCATTATAATTTACCTGGACAGTTGTAGTATCAAAGGGTGATCAGAGGTTGGGAGAGATGTTGGTAGAGCAGAATTAGTTCTCCCCTCAAAACTATTATAAATACACGTGTAAACTAAGTACACACACTATGCATGCTATGCAAATTCAGCCTCAGGGATCTTCTCTAATCACCTCCCTTTGAAAAAATTAGATCACTTTCCCCCAACTCTTCCTGGATAGATCATTGTACTTGCAGTGCTTGAGTAGTCTGCTAACTGGTTTCTCTACCCTAGCTGCAGCCTATTTTCCCAAAATTGAGTCTTCAAATGGGCGCTGATGAATCTTTTTAATTTTACAAATTGACCTTCACTGGCCAGGCGTTACCTGTGGTATAAATTTCATGTTCCTAAGCCTGGCCTACAAAGTCCTTCATTCTTTCAATTTCAGTCTTCATTTCTCTTACTACCTGATTCCGATCTCACTCTCTAGCTATTACTAAACTGCTTGTAGTCATTGGATACAACAATGTTGTTTGCCCTTAGTTTCAGTCACCCTCTTTCTATCTAGATTACATGTCTTCAAGGGAACAAAAGAAAAACTCTCCATTGTCTTTTAAAAATCAGTTTAAGACATCACCTATTCTAGTGAGCCTTCTAAGATACCTATTCCTCCCTGTTAACAGTTTCCTTCTCTGCTCTCTCTACCTGTACATGCTTCTATTTTTGTACCGATGGAGTAGTTATAAATGCTGTTTACCTTTATGCCTCACTTCTAGTATGTGAGCTCTCTAAAATCAGGAAATATCTACTTTGTTTTTGTATCCTCAATAAATAACATAGTGCCTGGCACTTAGAAAATGCTTAATAAATTATTATTGTTATTTGAATGGAATGACATCTTCTCTCTTTAGCCACCTACAATTTGTCACACCATGGCATTTAGATGTTTTTTGCAGGTTTGTGGTGAAAATGAACAAACTTGAATTTCTTTCCCTCATTAATTCTATCTCCTCTCCTCCAGGGAGATATAATAGGGAAATTATCAAATTACAGTGTAAACAAGGGAGGATGACCAAAGAATGATGTTGTCGAAGTAAAGAACAACAGATAGGAAATTTGTAATATTCATCGTGAAGACATAATAGGTGTGTTCAAATATTTGAGAAGTTTTCATGTAGAAAAGAGTTAACAGATTGATCTTTATGGCTACAGGGGCAGGGTTGGAGAAATGCAAGCAGATTTCAGCATACTACGAGAAAGAATAATCAAATAAAGCTGTTTCAAAATTCACTAATTCAACAAAATCTTGATTGAACAGTTGCTATGTATCTGACAGTTTTATACACACTATCCATAAGGATAACGAGCAAACAAACCAATGAAAAAAGGAACAACAGTAAATAAACAGGTCAGTGATCAGTGGGTGCAGAGAATTAAAGTAAATACTATAATAATGACTAAGTGGTTTCTTTAGATTGTGTGAGTGGGAAAGGCATCTTTGAGAAGATGATATTTATACTATGACCTAGCTGATGAGGAGGAAGATCCAATGAGGCCTTATGGGCAGGAATGAACTTGGAAAAACAAGGACCCCCAAGGCAATGGAATGGTTTACCTCAGGAAATAGTTAACTCATTACTACTAGAATTGTTCAAGAAGAGACCAATGAGCCTCAACCAGTGATGCCCTACAGAGGGTTGCTGTCCAGAGTAAAGGTCTGCTAATGAATTCTTAGGCTCCATCCAAATTTAAAATTCTATGATTCTGAAAGGTCCAAATGATGTTGTGATCAGTAGAACTGGCCTGTAATGGGTTTTACCTTGTGGATGCATCTAAATTGAAATTTATTAATTTGAGACCTGTCTTAAGACAGTTATTAATGGTACTCTATCATGTTCTACGATGTTTCTTTTTGTTTCATTTTCATTCCAGCTTTCCTCTCTGTGCTTCCTTTTTAAATTTGTAAAAATTTATTCTCTATCCCTCTGTTTGACTCCATTTTTCTTTCTCATGGGCCTTTCAGGGTTATAGACAGACACTGCTTAGCCCAACTAGTGACAGTTAGCTTTAGAAGCTTTGCTGATCTCTTCTGTAGTTACAAATATAATAGTTGCTTAAAACACAAAGTACTATTCGGTGGTTTTGTTTACTGTTGTGTCTAAACCACAGCTGTCAATTCCTGTACTTTAGTAATCATTAAGAAATGAAATCCAGTGGTTCTCCAATACCATAGTGATGCACAAACAAGAAAAAAACTCTGTTTTAGGCAGAACCTAAATTGATTTAGTCTTTAACTGATTTTGTCACTTTTGTTTTTCATTGCATACATGCATCTATCATTGCACCTAATACGGTGCTGCATACATAGTAAGGTGATCAATAAATACTTTGCTGAATGAATGAACACATGCATGTTTGTTTTATTCAGATGAATATCTAAAATCAAAGAATAAATTAAAGTTGGTGCAAACTAGGTAACTTTAGAATCTATACTACAGGCTCTATCAAGAATTTGGGGTCCAATTTATCAATGTTTAACTCACAAATAGGGAATTGCTGTGTTTAATAAGTATTACTCTGTGAAGATGTGTGCATATTCCCAATTGTACTTTGAAAGTCAGCTTATAAACATATATAAATATAAAATCTCAGGATTCTCAGAAATAGGAGATTATAGTATTACATAATCAAGTGTCTTTGTTTAGAGAAACTTGTTGTTTAGCACTAACATGTAGGCTGTGTAGAACAGAATCACTAATGATTCATAGGTACATAATAATGTACATATAGGTAAAAATGAAATACATAAAAAGTAAAGGAGTGAACAAATGGTCAAGCAATTAGGTGAGAATTCCTTATTTCACATATAGCCACTATTCATATTGATTTTAGAAAAAAGAAGCACTCTACTCTCCTAAAGATAAATTTTCTTATTCTATAGTGAAAACATGTAAGATTATTACCTCCATATCAGTGCCAGGTTACAGCTTCTGTCTTGAACATAGTCTTTTGTCTTCTTGAGAAGCAATTCCACAAAGTCAGGATTACCTTTTCTGGCAAAAACCCAGTACAGAATTGTATTCACACATATTTCAGTAAAGTCGAGGTTGAAACTTACTTCAAAACGGTATCCTGATTTTTCCACAAATGCAATGTAATCTGTGAGTAGTGCGTCAAAACCATTCAAGTCCACATACCTCAGAATTTTTGCCAGTGACCTGTAAATCCTAGGTTCATAACAGTGATATCCCCACTGACCCAAAAACTGCAAAGAGGGTCTTTTAACAATTTTGTCAAGGAGATTACAGAATATATTGCTTCTTGGACAAGAAGTCTTACGACATAATTTAGTCGATTTACTCATTGTTACTTATAGCAGCAGTGTAGAAATAAAATAAGAGGTAAGCATACTGTAATCCTCCAGCTACATAGTTTGATAATGTGCTAGGCTTTACTCCACAAACAGAAGTGCCCTTTAAACTGTAACCAGGAAAAATATGTGAGATATTACCATAAAGTAATGGATGACATCACAATAGGTGGAGATTTGTCACCAGCATAGGTCAGAGATTAGAGATATTATGTGTAACTGGTGACATTTGAAAGAGACATGTTGGACCGAAATGGCATGCATGAAAGCTAAGATAATATATTTAATTTCCTAAGAATTCAGTTCAAGGTAGCTGGCATATTTCTCAAGTTATGCATGTTTCTGCAGTAGGCTAAATAATAGTAATAAACAGAATTATCCTACGTGGACATTATATAAGCAGAAAATGATTAGACTGAATAAATTCAAGTGTTGTTCACATCTTCTGCATGAATACTGTATGCTCTCACTTAATCATCATCGACTATTTTCTCTTATCTTATAGTTGAGGAAATTGAGGCTTCATGGGTAGTTTTTGTTGTTTTTTGTTTTTGTTTTCTGAGCAGGGTCTCAGTCTGTCACCCAAGCTGGAGTGCAGTGGTATGATCATGGCTCACTGTGTCCTTGACCTCCTGGGCTCTCCTACCTTTTTCCCAAGTAACTGGGACTACAGGCATGCAATGTCATGCCCAGCTAATTTTTGTAGAGACAGAGTTATGCCATGTTGGCCATGCTGGTCTTGCACTCCCGAGCTCAAGTGATCTGCCTGCCTCAGCCTCCCAAATTGCTAGAATTACAGGCTTGAGGCCCTTGCCTGACTGAGGCATACATAGGTAAGGTAACTTGCCAGCATATTCATCTAAGTAACCCATTTATTTTATTTAAGAGAAAGGATGTCATACGATATTAACCAAAATTTAAAGACTTTGTTGTAGAATTTTAAATGTTAGAGAAATTATTCCTCTATAAACCAGGCAGAATGTATACAGTTTAGGCATGAAAGGTACTTCAAGCTTGATATGGTGTCCTTGCCCCAGTACAATAAAGGGGAAAGATGTTATGGTCGTTTTTATCATTATTCTGTAGCTAATTTTTCAGCCATCTTTTTATACCATTCACAGAGTGATCAGAGTTAACAACCTTGGGTGTATGTATCAGCATTTTTAAAGGTAATTAAATATTTTCTTTTTCCTTTCCATATTTTTCTTTCAATCCCATGACTGATGTCTCTTTTCTTTCAATCACATGAATGATGTCTAAGAAAAATTATAACTTTAGATTTACTATACTTCCACTAATATTGCATTTTATTTTGTAAATTCTAAACTGTCTTTTCCCAGCTGGACAACCTAATTAAACTAACTACATATTGTCATCTTTCTGAAAAGCAAGTTTTGTTGTTTTCTTTCACTTTTTCTGTTCTAATTTTTTTGCCTCAAAAATATTTTTTAAATTAAACTTTTATTAATTTCTTAATATAATACATAAAACTTATAAAAAGTGGGAACATTATAGAGCCAGTAAAAATTCCTCCCTTAGATAATCATGCTAGCAGTTTTATGTATAGCCTTTCAAATATATTTTTGCTTATGTGTGTATAAAATTTTGTCATTTTTTTAAAAAAAGAATAATACCTAATCTGAAAATTTTTTTGTCATTTTTATACAAATAGGATAACATTATACATATCTTCCTTTATGAGTTACTTTTTATTTCTGTAACAATGTATTATTATTACCTTTGTATGACCATATATGGTCATACATGCTAACTCTGTGTACTACTTGTTACATATCAGGTACTGTTTTAAGTGGTTCATATATTAACTCCTTTAATTCTTACAACAACTTCACAGATAAGGAAGCTGAGATATAGAGCTTAAGTGCCTTGCCCAAGATCATTTGTCTAGTAAGTGGTAAAGCTGGAATTTGAATCCAAGGAGAATGGGGCTAGAGACTTTCTACTTTCACCTGGTTCTCCAAAGAGAGCTACCTTTCCTTTTTTATGGCTAGTTTATGAAGAGTAGTCATGAAATAAGAGCTCCACAATTGTATGTCAAAAAGCAGAACATAGATATTAGGTTAATCCTGCTTTTGGGAAAAAGTGTTCAGAATATCCGTTAAAGTAATACTAATGTAAATCTGTGAATATGAAAACTTGAGTGATTCTTTTCTCCTTTTTATTTATACTTTCTTGATAATTTGAATATCAGTGTGTATTTTTTGCAGTTATGAGAAATATGTCATGCTTACTTTGAAAATAATAACCACAACATAGTAAGTCAAAACTGTTGCTGTATTAGTTCTTTAAAATTTTTAAGAAGTTGGCCAGGCATGGTGGCTTATGTCTATAATCCTAGCATTTTGGGAGGCCAAGGCAGGTGGATCACTTGAGGTCAGTAGTTTAAGAACAGCCTGGCCAACATGGTGAAATTCCATCTCTACTAAAAATACAAAAAAATTAGCCAGGCATGATAGCATGTACCTGTAATCCCAGCTACTTGGGAGGCTGAGGCAGGAGAATGGCTTGAAGATAGGATGCAGAGGTTGCAGTGAGCCAAGATTGCGCCATTGCCCTCCAGCCTGGGTGACAGAGTGAGTGAGACTGTATCTCAAAAAAAAATTTTTTTTTTTAAGTTATTTTCACTGCTAATATGCCAAGTCTGTCCTGCAGACTCTGGCCAAGTGACAGATGAATGGAGTACACAGACACCGACTTGCCTGTCAGCACAACTAGGGGACTCCTGCCAGAGTCAGCAGCAGCCTCCATAAGTGATAAGCCAGTGAGGCTCACATTTATTTAACAAATTTAAGGCGTAGAACAAACATCATTTGTGGGTAATTGACATTGTCGACCTCCCTAGTAGGGAGCAGTTCTGTGCATGATGATCAAAGGGTGGTTTCCAGAGAAATAGGTTAACAAACTTATCTAGATAAATTCCTTTGCACTCCCTTGTTATCTGCCCTATGCTATTCGCTCAAGGTAAGAGGATTAGTCTGCCTTCAGCCATAACCCTTTCCCAAAGCTTTTGCAAAATCTCCTGGCCTTCCAAGAAGGATTGCATTTTTTCTATAATTTTTTCCCACCACCCTGACTGATCTCCTGTATCTCCCCAGTTTCTGTTTTTTGATAAGGTTTTATAGATTGAAGAGTACAGATGTGTGCAGCAACAGGTTTGTCAAGCACTGTGGTTATAAGTTGTGTTCCAGCTTTGCATTCTAGAGTTAGTAAATAACATCAGACAAACATGAGTATAATCAGTAACATTCTTTTCCAATCAAGGAGTGACATGTAGTGTTACTTGGCACCTCAGTCCAAAGTGTGCCATTAATGAGGGACCCCACCAGGGATATATTAATCCTTTCTAGCCAAGCAATCACATCGTTAGAGGCTAGGAAGGGAGTGTCTGCCTAAGTAACAAGCGGAAAAGAGGCAGATTTAAAAGACAGGCTCAATAGAATGTAGCAGGTACAGATTGCAGGCAGAGTGAGAGAAGAAACAAGGAAAAAATTATCTGGACTGAATGATGTTTGGAGCAGGATTTGCTCAGCCTCCTGAGTTGTTTTTTTCAGCATTCCCCAGGTAATGTCCAGGGCTTGTGTTGTCCAAGGAAGTTGTGACATATGGGGCTATGGGTCCTGCAGGGTCATTTTTTTTATTTCTGATACCGAGTTGGGTCCTAGCCACGCGATGGTATGGTTTGATGCGTTGTGTGGGAATCCAAAGAGGACCTGAGGGGCTGTGAACACAAGCGTATCCTCTTCCCCATGTGAGCAAATCATTTGGACCACACCATACATTACTATCACATCTTTCCATAAAACTATGGGTTTTATGTCTTAAGAGGTTTTAGCAAAGTGCTATTCTGTAGCTGATTGAAATTTGCCGTTTAAATTTAAGAATTTAAGGGTAAGTAAGGCTTGTGCTAGTAGTGTTGCAGGGTCCTTACTCATATTCCCCCTTTTTTGTTTCCTGAGCACATTTAACTACTTTTGTAGGCAAAACTACAGGAGTATGAAATAAAAACTGAAGTAGTTTGTCAGCAGGAAGGGCATGTTCTATATGGCCTGTATAATCAGAGAGTGTTTTCTGAAGATCTAGAGATAGGGGCAATACTGCTCAGAGGAATTTTTATGACATCAGGGTCATAAGCTAGCAACAGATTGCATTGTCTGTGGCCCATATAGATGACTTTACTAACTAGCTGGATATAGGGAGACAGTGTGTTAGTTGAGGTATATGAGCAAAAAAACCCAGTGTAGGAAGCACAGCCCTGGGGCCATCTGTCCTATTAAGCCTCTTGGGGAATGTTTAGTAGGAAAAACAAACAATTGAACTGAATTTTTTGGGTCTATGCAATCTAGTTGCCTCTGAGAAATAGCTTGTTCTGTTTTCTCAATTTCTCTTTTTTGCTGGAGGGGTTAAATGCTTGGGAGAATCTAGAGCTGTATTGCCCTTTCGGATAGAAAACAGGTTTTGCAATTTATCAGTAGTTATGCCCAAGGAGGGGCGAAGCCAGTTAATATCTCTCAGTAATTTTTGATAAACATTTAAAGTACGTTAGTTGCTAGTATTTAATTTAAACTTCTGGGGTATTACTGACAGAGAAGTTAGTATGTATCCAAGATATTTTGAAGGAGAGGACATTTGTGATTTTTCAGGCGCTATGGATAAACCTCTTAACTCTGTATTCCTTTGGACAGAGGCATATAAACTTAAAATACTGGCTCCAATGGGGCTGCTAATAAAATGTCATCCATAAAATGAATAATCTTACAATTAGAAAACTATTTTCTACTGGTGAGCAAAACCTGATTTACTGATACTGACACATGGTAGCACTGTTCAGCATTCCTTGAGGAAGCACTTTCCAGTGAAATCGGCAAGCTGGCCTTTATTGATAAATGGTATTGTAAACACAAATTTTTCTCTGCCCTGTTCTGCAAGGGGAATAGTGTAAAAGCAGTCTTTTAAGTCAATGACAACTATAGGCCAATTCTGAGGAATCACCGCAGGGGAAGGGAGTCCCTGTTGAAGAGGCCCTATAGGTTGCAAATTAGCATTGATAATAAGTCATGCAAAAGTCTCCATTTGCCAGACTTTTTGGGAATGATGAATATGGGTGAATTTCTATATGGCTGGCTTTTAATTGCTCCTCAACTAATTCATGGGCTCATAGTAATTTCTCTACCTTTAAAGGTCACTGCTCTACCCAAATAGGATTTTGAGAGAGCCATGTCAGGGGTAGGGGAGGAATAACAGTGCTGTTATTAGAAAAGGGTTTGCTTTTCACATAGTTCATCGAATTCTGCCCTCTAGAGGAGGTTGTCAGCTGGCTTCTAAAGTTGTTTTAGCTAGCACTGGCCAGTCCCATGAAGTCATATGGAAGTTGTCTGCTATGGTTTCAATTAATCCTTTTGTAAATGGGCTAGCAGCTCCATTTTCTCTAATGCTTTCTCTTATCTCTTTATAAGCATCAAAAGAAATGCGTTCATATACCTGATTGCCTTGTCGATCTTGCATTACTGGGCAGGCCAAGA